GGGAGCCACGGCTCAGGCATACAAAAGACACTGGGCACTTGGCTGAGGAGTCAGATCTCAGATTATAGCACCCTTGTAATTTATTGCACATTATTCACAGGAGGAACCTGAACCCAGGTTTCCTCTCATTTTTCCCATACTGCTACCTTGCACTAGCATTAAAAATAGCGTACCTGGTCTTCCCAGCTGCAGCAGATTTCGCTGTATACCTCAAGCACAGTTTAGCAGAGTTTCACCACACTTTCACTGTACCTTTCTTGATACAGAAATATAAAACCAGCGTGTGCATGTTCAATACAGCCCCCAGCTGGTATGTTCTGCCTTTACCTGGCACTCAATTGGAAGCTATTGTGGTCCTAGAGACAGCACGGACAGGAATATTCCACAGGATCTTCACCTACTAATCATCTGCTCAGGTCCTTCCAATTCCCCCAGAGCCCTACCCTCTTGGACCAGCAAATCCATTCCCTCATTGGTATTTACACCCTTCAAATATTTGTACACGTGGTTATAATCCCTTAAGCAGCAAGACGGTCATACTGGTCTCATAAAGGTTATCCAGAGTGAAGGAGCCCAGCCTTCAGGCTGCCACATTCCTACACACAGCAGCCTGGGGTTTGGACCGATCAGCTAAATGTTATGTGCACTGTGGATCCAGAGGAGAGCCCTTACGTGTCTGTGCAGGTTTCCCTGCTACACAGCCAGGAGAGCCACCCTTCTCTCTTGCTGCAGCTCACTGCAAGGACAGCTCCACTAGTGCTCCAGAGCGCAGTGCTCTGCAGAAGCACCAAATCCAAGTCAAGCCTGTCCTACAACTTTCCATGGCTGCAAACAACATGAGAGCCTCACAGCTGGAGAAGGACAGTTGGTCCTGAGATACACTTCTGGGTATCATGACATTAGGGCAGATGTACACCATGAGCTACTCTGGTCAGGCACTCACTGGCAGCAAAAAAATTATCCTCTTCTGCACCTCAGCACCATTTCACTCTTCTGTACACCCTTTTCCTTGTGGTGGCCACACACAGCAACTAACCCAAGCAACTATGTTGCCTGTGCCCAGCTACAGCTGCCCATAGACAGCAGTCAGGGCAGGCACTCCACACTGCCCTGCCGACACGCCTAGCAGGAGTATCTGCGAGGAGAACGCAAACTCCATTCCAATGGCCCATTCTGCTTTGCAAGCTTTTGCAGACAACGTGCATCAGTTCTGTGTATACAGTCACAACAGCTAACAAGGAACTGGTCCAAAGGAAAAACATACATGTGTACATCCACAAATCACACTGTTTTCTTTTTCATATGGATTCTAAGAAAGTAGAACTTGCTAAAAGCATCAAACTAGCACTGCTCTTCCTCCATCCCACACTGAGGAGGGAATCAGCTTTCACACCAGGTCTCAAATCTGAAGGACTACACACAGGGTACTCCAGATTGCAGGTACTTTCATACTACTTTGGTCCCAGCACTCAGCACTATATAATGTATATAGCCCCTACCTGTTCCCTTCTCTTGCATAGCCCAGTTAGAAAATCACACTCACCAAAAAAAATTAAAAAAAAAAATTCATCAGGGCATGAAAATTTTATTAAACTACATACAGAACAGGTGCCCCTTTAAAGCATGACTTCCTCTCTGGAAGGCACATGTAGCAAGTTCCTTAGCGTCAGGTGTAGACTCAAGTGATGAAAGAAAAATACATAAATGTTTATTAAACCTTTGTTGCCATTCACACCATCAACTTTCACACCCCTGTGCCAAGCTGTTAATGAATTCCCATGCTGTTCCAGAAGACTTTTCACAGCTCCTGTCAGAAAAGGGAAGTTTCACAAGGGCAGCACTCACTGGAAAAGTCTCTGCTCTCGCCACCATCAACAAAAAATGCTCACAACCAGCTGTTTGTGGAATATATGTGTCCTGCCCAAACTGTGTGGGAATAAAGAGCTTCTTCCAGTGAGGCATGGGACCATTTTCATGTATATCTCCTGATACATATTTGTCTCAAGATTATTTATGCTAAGACTTCCCAATTTACCTAATGACCAGGACTAAAAATTAGCCGTGATAAGCCAAGCAACCACAAGCCAGTACAGGAGGCTCCAGGCCAGGTGACAGCTGTGAGTGCAGGCTATAGCTCATACACCCAGACACGGCGTCACGTCCTTGGGGAGCTCTGCAGCTCTACACTGCTGCCCAGGCAGGCAGCCCCACGGCAGGACCCCTCCGGGCACACAGACCCCCAAGGCAGGCAATGCACCACCTACGCCTCCATGCCACTTTTCCTTTCTGGCACCCAGATTCAGTCGTGCTGCCGTACTGGCAAGTGTGAGGCAGGGCCCTACGCGTAAGGCACACACCGCCTGCTCAAGTCTCAGCAGGTCTGCAGAAGTGCCATGGTGAACCGCAGGGAAGGCAGTGTGAAATTGCACAGTAATTCTCTCTGCTGCCACAACTCCTCCTTTCCCCCACAACTAGCTCTTTTATCTGGCACTGGAGACCCTGTTCTAAAAGGAACAGGCAAAGATGTTTCCCACAAGATGAAGTGAACATTGCTACTCCTCTCAGAGTCATCCAAAACAAGAGGGGGGCAAAATGAAACACCTTCCCAACTCAAAAGGTGACAATTATTACATACTACATTACAGCTTAGACACCCTTTGCCAGTACAAAAGCTTTAACAAGCTCACATTTACTTTGTCCCTGGAGGACATGAGGACGTCTATTCACATTAGTGTTTTGCACAGCAAGTTGCTGAAAGCTTTACCATTTTGAAAAACAAAACTGAGAATCTTCAGCTTCTCATGCAGATCCTTTAATTCTGCTGATCATAAAGCATAAAGCACTAAGTGACTGTTTATCAATGTACATTGCTAAATGAAATCAATCCCAAGCACTAGAACAGAACTAGACTTTTTCTACAACCAGAATGAATAAAGCAAATAGCTTTATTTGTTTTCCTCCTTTTAATATCAGAAAATTGTGTTCCCAAATAAATCCTTATATTAACAATTTAGCAGCATGTTTCTGTCAAGCCTAGTTGACAGATTATAGCCCAATAGTCTATACATTTTCTTATTAAACTAAACAATCTCAGAGATCTACTAGCACTCTGTCTCTGCCTGTACCTCATCTCTCAGCTTGCAGACAGCTCACACTGAAGCAAGATACTACAAAACATGCTGCATACTTCAGCTTCATATCTTAAAACCAGCATGACCTGCAGTATTTTCCCAGAATGTATAAAAGACTGGAGAATTGGTCCTTCGGTGTGAAGCTAAATCAACTGACCAAGCAGGAGCTTCGTTAGCTAACGGATCTTTCATTGTTTCTAAATATTATACCTTCTGATGTTTTCTAGTGGAAGTTAATTGTTGCCCTAAATACAAAAATACCCAAGTCTCTTCTTTTAGACTAATTACAATGATAGATTCAACTTTTATTCAAGCAACACATCAAGAGACAGATTAGTATCTAAACCTGATCATTGTCAAAGCCTGTAGTTCAAAAATGCAGTGGCTGTTTCCTCCCTGCACAGTGACTAATCTCCTTCCTGAGTCAATCTGTTTCTCCTCCTTGCTATTCTCCCAATAGAGAGATGCTGCAAAAGCAAGGTTCCCCCAAGTGAGATGCTCAGCCAGTGTGGATCACTGCACTGAATGGTATGCTTCCTCAGAGCAGGTTTCTTGCAAAGCCCATTCCCCTTTCTAAGTGCCAAGAATCAAATCTTGGCCAGCTAATGCAGCATGTTCCACATGTTAGCTCGCAACACGATGAGCAACTGTGTTAACTGAGATGGATAGTGCTGTCAAACAGGAAGCTGGCTCACCAGGATGGAAACAGTGGGATATGCTGACCTTTTACATTCAGAAAATAAGTGTCCCTAAAATGACATGAAATGTTTCACATTAAAAAACAACTACCTTCTTGCAGAGTTTTTATTACTGTATTGTGTAAATAAACACATGTGCATGAGCTCTGCCTGTATAAAGAACCTGAGCCTCTCTCACAGAGCAGAGGCTGACAAAGGAAATGAATCATTATCACCCTGCTTGAAAAGATTATACAAGGAGCCTGTGTTATTAACCACTGCCTGGAACTCCTGGATTCAACACCACCTCAGCTCCCTCTGTTCACACATTCAAATACCTAGCTATACAAAATAACTAAAATCAACAGATAAAATCCAAATTCCCAGGCAAAGCTTCTATTAAACTACTCTAACTGTGCACAGCTTTTATTGGTGACATGGAAATGAAACTGAAACTTACAGGCTTCTCATCCAGAAGAATAAGCACTGAAAAAACCTGTTTAGTATAAAAAGCCCCTTGAAAAGTAAAGTTCATTCTGGAAAGATTTTTCCCAATCCACCACCTCCTGCCTGACTCCCTTAAGATTAGAAATTTAGCTTTGGTTTTTTTCAAGCTGATATTTTGGGTAGAGAGAGGAAGGCTTTGTTTAAGATTTCGCTGCTACTGGAGAATCATCTCTAAGTGGAAGGGACTGTAGAGCTTTACAAAGGGCTTTGCAGCAATATAGTAGGTAAGTGAAAATGGAGAAATAAGCCTGCATGTTTACCACTACAACTATTGGCCATATATACATAAATGTATAATTTTAAAAAAGAAAGACTATAATATGCTATTCAAAAAGAGGAATACTAGATACCATCTAGCCAAACACCTAGAGATTCTATCCACCTCTTCTGTGCTGACTTCCTCAAAGCAGCAACCTGCCTCGTGGTACAGAACAAATGTGTCATGTATATGCTGACTGATCATTATCACTGTATTTCACACTTCAGCAAGATCCCACTAATGCTTTCTAGGCAGGTAAAAGGTAGGGCTTGTTGTACACCTAGTTTAAGATTAAATAATCAACACAACTGATACAACCACTTCCAAGATTTGCCACCAATTTTCTTGCTTTCTCCTTACATCGAACAACCTCAGGTGCTGTCTTCTGCCAGCGCAGAGAAGAGGGATAAGAACTTTATTGAATACCTTGTGCCTGAGCTGCAGAACTGTGGGAATACCCCAGAGCCAGGAGCGCTGTCTCCACCAGCTGGCTAAAGAGCACATCTTTGCGAACCAGAACGAACTCAGCATGCTCTTCTCGATTATCGTATTCAAGAGAGGCGTCCGACTGCTCCACCACACAAAAGACTGGAATCATCAAACCTAGATAAAAAAAAACCAAAACAACAAAGCATCAATAAGAGAAGAACAAGAAGTGTGTCATACATCTCTGATTAAAGCTGCAAATTAAAACACCTCCTAGAAGGCTCATCTTAAGTGGAAATCTGTCTTTCTTCCCTCTGGGATAGCTTTTGTTTTCTTTCCAAGGGAAATACTGAAATCTCATCACTTGACTCATTTAAAAACCACACTAAAAGCTCCAGAGAATACAGTTCAGGAACAGAATCACAGTCAGCATGAGGACGAACAAGATTTCCTAATAAGACCTTTTCAACATTGCAGAAATTTTCTACAGTTCCATGCATGTCCCTGTTCCTTCAGGTCAGAGCTTCTCCACATTCAGCCACATGAAAACCCGACACACAAATGCTGCTTCTGTGTCTCTCTGTACAGTGAATGTATGGAGGAATCAGCAGAGGCTAGTCCCATGCACAGTTCTTGGATGGGATAGAATTATTTGCACATTTTCAGACCATAGCCAGTCTTCTTACTGTGCAAGGAAAATAACCTTGCATTGATCTTGCTGAAAACAATAATCTTCTGTTGGCAGCTGATGGTCATGCAGACCCAGAGAGGCCAGTGGCTGTTCTGCTGCTGCATATATGAGAGAGTGAGAACAGCTCTCTTCGAAAGAGGATAAAGGATGAGGAGGAACCACAGAAGTGGAAAACTCAGAGGGTGGTCTGGATTCAATTTTATTCTGTTTTATTGTAAATTTACTTTTGTGGTTACAGGATCGAGTCATCTATGGCAATAAATTGTAGGGCACGAACTTAAAGGGTTTCAATACTAACAGACAGTAGAGAAACAAGCCAGTTTGCAGGAGATGGTCCCACAACACCCGAAGTGCATGGACAGAAGGAAGATGGAACAGACAGAAAACCTACAGAACTGCATAGCCATTTCCATCACCTGCTACAGGCCAGGATGTAGTCAAAAGAAAAACCACTACCTCCAGTCACAGAAATCTATTAATTGTTTACATACCATATATGTTAGCCCCTAGAATAACTATGAAATACTGGGCAGAGACAAATCAGCCTAAAGCAGTTCTCCAAATGTGCTATCTAAGGCCCATAATACTGCCAGAAAGTTCACCTCTCACTCCTGTTCTTCAGCATGAAATGTAACCACTTCCAGTAGATAACAACTGTGAAAAATAAGTGAGTATACTTATGAAAGGCCAAACACAAATCATGGTATTCCTGGGCTGCGTACTTCTTTAAGGGAAAAAGAGGACAAAGCCACATTTCAGTTCTCTTTCTGTACAATATCATCAAGATCTTCTACTATCAATAGCTTCAGTATCTACAAACCAATATATATTCCTTCACAGGAGTCACCCTGTGCTGAAATAGGTACAGTCACACCAGTAACAACTGCTAAAGGACTTAAATCCACCTTGTCTTGAATCTGCAGAGATTTACTTTAAAATATATTTTAGACACACAATTCTCACTTAGTGATCTACTATCTGTCATGAAGCAGCTCCCAGTCTGACATTCTAACTGCAGGTCAGCAGCAGCAGCTACAAGCTGCAATATCCAATTGATGTGTTTTAATTCTTCGCTTTAAAACACATTCTCAAGTAACGTGTAAGTAGGTTATGGCATCACATTGACGCTGCTCCCTCTTCACTGCTCGATTCTGGGTTAAACTGATGCATTTTGCAAGTTCAAGCAGCCAAATTCTAACACAAGTGTTAAAAAAAAAAATCTCAGTGAAATCTCACCTCTAGGTGCTTTCCTGAAAAGACAGTGCAAGGCTGATCCTGTTCCTCTGAAATCAATTACAAAATTTCTATTCCTATCAAAGGTTAAAAACTGAATTCTATTTCTCCATAAATCATTTAACTAGTTAAAACAAAATTTAACCTCCATAAGCAACAAAATTCTCCTCCCGTCGAACATACACTCCACCATAGCACTCTTGATGGGGCTCATAATGTCTTAACAAAAGAGTCAGATACTTGGCTAAATGCTGAGGCTGTGATATCAGTTGTGTAAATTACATTTTGGCAAGACAGAAAAAGTAGGTGAATGCAAACTGATGAGAGGGATGCCACAGCATCTTTTATCTTCCTGCTGGACACTTTCCAACTTTTCAGAACAGAAGTTGCACCTATTCTCCACACTCGTTTAATCTCTTGGTACAAACAGGATCTCAAATGCTAGAACTGATGCTATACATGACATCACTTTTATGGATGGCACGAAGGACCCACAGGAATTTTGCCCATGATGACTTTCCTTCCCCCTTCCGGCTGCCCAGGCGTGCAGGGACCCTGCTACAGAAACAGCTTTTGCAAAAACATCTCTGAACTCTGTGACTCAGCATAACTGATAGAAGCTGTTATTAATCCCTTAAAAACAGAGAGCAAAGGGCAGGTTACCGCATCTGCCACTGCTAACCCATTCTCATGCCTCTCCCTGTAGTGTCTGGAATCTTAATACCAATCCTGTTTTACTAAAAAACAACAGTATTCTAACTTACTTCCAAGTAAATCTCACTCCAAGGAAGTTCTATCTGCTTTGTCCTTTACTTCCCATTGGAGAGTTAAGCTATAATGTCTCCAATGGATTTAGTGCCTCAAACTTCTGTTTCCTGATGTTATCTGAAAATAAATTAACATACTTGCAGTATGTTGGAATCAGAAGAAAAAACATCTGCAGTCAAAAGTCAACATGCTCTTTACACAATGATACACACCATGTCCTGCTCCTAGGTGCACATATTACACCTCTAGCTCACTACAGGGCCCTTACAGGAGAGCAATGCAAGTTAAGTCACTGCTCATTGTCATTCCAGTTGAACAATCTACAGCAATACTCAGAGAGCAGGAGACCAAGCATCCATAATGAAGTCTCGCATGCAGTGCTACAGCAATGCAAGCCAGCCTTACTCATAAATCCTGAAACTCCTCA